GACAGCACTTTAGTTTAACTTCTGATTCAAAAATGGCACCTCCAACAATGCAGTGCTTCTCGAGTACTGCACTGGAGTATCAAGCTTAACTGTGAGTTCAGTGTCTCGATGTGGGGCTTGAAACCCCAATCTTTTGACTCTGAGACGAGTGCTACCAATTGAGCCAGGCTGATATCTTAAGGTCGCATGTTTGGTTAAATTATACTGATCACTCACCCAGAGTACTTTGATTATCTCTATGACAACCTCTGCATTAAACATGATACACTGCATGGATGTGTGCTTGTGCAGTGATGTTCTGTGTTTGTCACGGGGAAAAAAAGGAACCTTCAGTGGTTATGTGACAAATGCAACAATAAGATACAGACAGGTTAGGTATAAGAAAGGCAAAAGCTGCTGTTTAAAACACCCTTCAGGATCACAAAGTATTACCTAATAGAATAATTCAAACTGTACCTCCAGACACAATGCATCAGCCCAACATCAACTCATCATCAAAAAATGGAATTTGCCTACTTGTTCCTTTCATCCTGATCACGAATGATGTCTGATTCCTATCTGATGGAATTGAAAGCATACAGAGGCTGATGATGAGTTGAAAAAAATGGGCGGTGGGTGGGAGGACACTAGCATAAGACGAACTCTGAAAATTGGAAATTTATTTTCTGTTTTTCATTTCAGTTTCATGCAGCAACTCTTCCTAAGTCTCTGACGAGTTCAGGATTTCTGTATAAAAACTGTCCTCATTCCATAATGAATACATTGGCACATTCATGCTCTGACTCACTATACATTAATTGGTTTGAACACGAATAACTGGCCAATTAGTTTTAGTACAATTTTCACAGAGCAAGTGAACTGTGTTTCCTTGTCAGAAGGAAGAAGAAAAGGCAAATCAACCCACGCTTAAAGCACAGATTATCATTGACTTCAGGCACCCAGCTTATCTCATCCAATTGCTCATGTGTTCTCTGAACCTGCAAAGATAATTGAGCAAAACCCAGAAATTTCTACGTTTATATATAATGATCTTCTAGTCAAAGAGCAGAGAGACTCCAGGGCTAACATACAGACTTCTTTAAAGGTTTTTTAAACAGGGGCATAGTATAAAACCAAAAAAAATTGCTTAGCTTGTATAAATCATCACTTTTAACTGTGCTTTTGCTCAACCTTCCTCTCTTCACCCATCTCAGATCCCACCCCCAGCTCAGGTGTCCATCTAGTTTTGTCAAGTGCTTTGAGAGATTCTCCTGACATGAAAGGTGCTAAAAAATGTAAATTGTATTGTGTTGTAGTTATATTCTAGCTTGAACATTGTGTCCAGTTTTGGTCAATTCACTTTAGGAAAGATGTCAGAAGGGAAGGCCATAGAAGGTACAGAGGATATTTACTGGTGTGATACCAGACACGAGTGATTTGGTCTTTGAGCAGAGACTAGAGAAACTGGGCCGATGATCATAGATTCATAGAATTAACAGAAGGAGGCCATTTGGCCCATCATGTGTGTGTCGGCTTTTTGAGAAGACCTATCCAATTCAATCCCACTCCCCTGCGCTCTCCCCCTAGCCCTGCAAACTTGCCCTCCCCAATTGATCATTGATCATTGTACACATGGGGGAGACACTGTTAGAGGCTTTAAATTATGAGGGTCTTTGGTAGAATGTATAGATGAGTCAGTGACTGGAGGGCATTAACTTACGGTAGTTACTAAAGGAGCAAAAAGGGAAATTAGAAGAATCTTCGGAATGGGTTGCTGGGAGCAGTGGTGTTGTAAAGTTCTAACCATTTCCAGATAGCTTCCTTTCTTCCTTGAGCAATATTTGCCCTACCTTCTCAGGCCAAAGCAATACAGGAATTATTGTGCCTTGGCTCTCAATTTCCCTGGTTACTTTCTCCAATTAAAGTGAGTTAGATGTAAGCTTATCATCCAAGCCTTCTGACCTCAAATCCCCAATGAGAACTATAGAAATTTGCACACAGGCCATTCGGCCCATCATGTCTGTGCCAGCTCTTTTAAGAGCAATCTTTTCAGTCCCAATTACCTGCCCTTTCCCTATAACCATATAATTTACTCCATTTTAGATATGTACCTGGTTCCCTTTTGATATCTAATATGGATTCTGCCTCAATCACTACTCCTGCCAGGGTGTTCCATATCCTAACTACTCTGTACGTAAAAACATTCCCCTAACATCCCCATTTGTTTGTTTGCTAGCTGTCTTATGTCCTAAGGTTGCTGACTCACCAACCAGTGGAAATGTTCTCCTCACTGGCTTCCCGGGTTATACTCTCTACAAGCTGCAACTCATTCAAAGCCAGTGACATAACCTAGTATTAAATTAGCTTTAATGTGGGCAATGCAAGAATATATCAGGAGTGACTGATGGACAAGGACAGCAATGGCCAAAGGGAAGTGACCCCTGCCCTGCTTTTCAATCTGTTTCCATTCCACACGCCTCAACTTTTCACTGAATCTGACCTGCTCATGCTTTTTAATTGCAGAAGGTGGTAATCTTAACTCAAACTTAACCGTTAACTGGTTGCTTTACTATTGCTGCTGACAGATTTCTTGGTTCAGTAATATTAGAGATCATGGTTATCACAAACGGGTCTAAGGAATGATTTGAAGAGTTTTAAAAATGTGGCTTTAGTAATAAAAATCATCCTTGTATATATGATATTTTATCACATCAAAATATCTCAAAGACGTTCACAATGTAAAGTGATTATGTTTTGTAGGAGAATACAGCAGGCAATTTGTACACAGTAACGGCCTACAAACAGCTATGAAGTGAATGAACAATATTATCTGGGGATTGTTGTCCAAGATACCAGGAAAAATACCTTCTAATTTCTTTAGAATAGTGCTATCTGATTGTTAATTTTCATCTAAAAGGTTGGCAGAATGTTAGTTTAACATCTCATTTGAAGGATAACACCTCTGATCAGGACAGAAACCAGAAATATTTTATTACGGAGGGTAACTAATGACTGGAACAGGTTGTCAGGAAAGGTGGTAGAAGTCAGGATACAGGATTCATTCGAAGAGCAGCTTGGTGCAATGATGGGGGGAATGGTAGTTTGGGTGTTTTGGAGGGATGAGATTGGATGGACCGAAGGGCTTTCTTCAGGTAGCCAAATCTTGTGATACTGTGACAATTCAGATTGCATTGGAGTGGTCAACTTCTGATTTAGAGACAAGAGTGCTGCAAACTGAGCCAGACTGACATCCCAGTAAATCCTACACATGAATTTAAAAACAGTTATTAAATATGTATTGTGCAGCAGTGTAAGAAAAACAGTGGTCATAGCTAAACTCATGAACTAACAAGCATTGCACATTCTACTCAGTGCTTTTACATGACAATGGGAAGGTGATCCTGTATTAAAAATGAACATGCAAACACGTTATGTGTATATATATTTTTGTGATATGGGATTGTGAGCTCTGGCTCTGTGGGTGAATTCTGTTGAAAGTGCCATTTGCTGCTACAAAACTATTCTGCTTGTACAGTTAAAAAGAACACAAAATGATGATAAATGAAATTTGCAAGCTGGCTTCCACTAATAATTCTTTTGATAGTGCATAAAATAACTAGTGTGCCTGGAGTCGCTGTGTAACCAAAGGAATATTTTTTTTTAACTGTCTCAATAAGAAACTATTGCTGAATTCATGATTATGTTATTTGATTAATATATTTGCAATTTCAAAAAGTAATTCTTAGACAAGTTAATACGTTCAAAATAGCTACTGTATTTCTGTGTATTGGAAAGTGGTAGCCATTACCTGGGCCAATAGAAATGTACGGGCGCATTTTTCCCGCAGTTTCCGTCACAACAACCTGTCCGCGACAAACCCACTACAAACAGGCCCTTGGGTACTAATCTTTACACACAGTGTGTTAGGCGCTGTTGTACTGTTTGCTCGACACCGTTACTATGGCTGTAGCAGCTCCCATCGTGCATGAGCGGGATGGTGAATTTGGGGATTGCGGAAGCAGCGAAGGGAAATCGACTTTGGTGGTGTGTACACCTCGATACGGAAAGCAGCTGTGTCACACTACTGCCACAAATTCTTGGTAAGCACTGTACTATTCAAATTAAAATATTTAGTATTTTAAACATAACTACACTTTCAGGAAATATAGACCTATAGCTTTAATCAGGGTTGTTTCACCTTTTAGGCTGTACAATACAGAAATGTCCAAACATAAGAAATGCGAGACGAGAAAATACCAAGATCCATCTAATTCACCTTCCACTCTTGAACAATAATACTGCAGTGCTGCAAGCCCAAGCAACCTTTGTCACAGAGCACTCATCTGAGCTCATAAAACTAATTGAAGAATGTCAGGCAACAGCAGTACCTCAGGGCCAGAATCTGTACTTACAGGTGCAAAATTTACATTTGGTTATTGTTTTCTGTGCAACTGCTGGAGCACAGGACCGAAGACAGTCGAAGAGTTGGCAGCCTGTTCTGAGAGTGAGAGAGAGAGAGAGGCATCTGTTAACCTTTTCCAGAGAATCATACAAGGCATCAGTAAAAAGTTGGGACTACTTTTGAAAAAGTATCCATCAATTGTATTTTTGATCCTCACCAGCTGGCCACAATGGTGCAGAAAAAGACTTATATAGTAAATGTGATTCTTGCCCTTTCAACTATTTCAAACTTTCAATGGCATGCTTATAAAGTAGCTGGAGAGAGGGTCCTAGCTAACCACAAAATAGCAGCATGGGGGAGAGCTCAGCCTGAGCCACTTGTGGAGTCCTATAGCTCAGCAGTTAGAGCACTCGCTTTGCAAGTGAGAGACCTGGGTTCGATTCCCGGCAGGGTGAAACCTTGGGCAAGTTTCCTTACTCCACACACCTGATAGTGATCCCTCAAACAAAACAATAATAAATTGATAATTTCAATCGACTGTGGGCCACTGCTGTGCGCAATTTGGCTGCCACATTTCGCCCACAAATATATAGTCAATTCACTTTAGAGTCTATTCTGTGAAGCGCTTTGAGAAGTCTAGAAGGATTATTATTATTATTGTGAAACTTGCTCAAATTGCAAAAAGGTACATTTGGTTACCAGAGAGCACAGCTGATGTTGAAAGGTCATTTTCTGTTTATTCAGACCTCCTCAAAGATAATAGACAAAGCCTAACAGACAAAAATATAAAGATTCTTCTCATTTCAAAATGTAATCAGCACTCAACTTTTGACTGAGAATGTTTTGCATATTTATGTGAAAAGTTGATTTTGAAAATATTTATTTCCCCTCAAACTGTATTGAAACTGCACTTTTGCAGCTTTTGAAAGGTGTTACGTTCTGTTTTTATTAAAGAAAAACATTAATAATTTTTTCCCCAATACTCTATGATGTGTTATTTCTTTATGATGTGTTATCATTTCTGCCCTCCCTCATCCCAAGCCTGTCCACCCACACTTGGGTCCTGATCCCCGACTGTTCAATGCCTTGGAATGTTCAACGCCTTAAGTGCTGTCCATTACAAGTGAAAGTATTTAGCACCATGTGGGACCGAGAGCTGTTACCTTATGTCCTCTACAAGCTTGACTTAAATTGTTACATTTCCCTAAGTGGCTTCAAAAGTTCACAAGAAACATTCCGATGAGGAAAGCCTTTTAGCCCATTTGATTTAACCTAAACTGAAATACCAACTCAACGCAAAACCAACACAATAATGATTAAATAACTTAAATAAGTAGTATTTTCTGAAATACTACCGATACCCTGTGCTAGTGAGGAAAGGCAGAAGGTAATTAGGCAGACCAACATATTGCTAAGGCATTGTTGTAGGGAATCAGGCTTTCGTTTCCTCAAACAATGGGGCACCTTTTGGAATAGGGGATGGGCTCCACCTAAACAAAAGGTGGAGGTGGTTGGCTGGCAGGGTAGATAGTTTGGTTAGGGAGCGTTCAAGATTTCGTGAAATCCCTGAAATTTTCAGTAAAATTGTGAAACCAGGGACTTCACGATGTATGAATCATCAACATGTTTTGAGTATGTTCAGTCTGTTTCCCCCTCCCTATAGCCACCTATAAGGCTTGAGATTGAGGTTGGAGTTGAAGGTTCCTCTGACGTTTGAGGTTGGGGTTGGAAATTCCTCTGAGGCTTGAGGTTGGGTTTGGAGTGGGAAACTCCTTTGATACTTGAGGTTGAGGTTGGAGTTGAAAGTTGCTCTAGGGCTTGAGGTTGGAGTTGGATATTCCTCTGCCGCTTGAGGTTGGGGTTTGGGATTGAAGATTTCCTCTAAGATTTCTAGATGGAGTTGAAGGTTCCTCTGAGGCTTGAGGTTAGGATTGGAGTTAGAGATTCCTCTAAGGTTGGTGGTTGGGGTTGGCAATTCCTCTGATGCTTGAGGTTATGGTTGGGGTGGGAGATTCTTCTGAAGTTTGAGGTTGGGGTTTGGAGTTAGGGCCCCTCTCTCTCCCTTGCATGGGACTGGTTCTCTTTGGGTGAAACATCCACCTTTGGCCGCTCGGGGTTGTCTGCCCGTTGTCGCCCTTCCTCATCATGGTGCATCTCGATTAGAATCTCGTAGAAGAAACAGCCGACTAATCCTCCAAGAACTGGGGCCACAAGAGGCACCCACCACCAATTGTCACCCGCCGTGAAGACCTGACTTCCATAGCCAGCGAAATAGGAGAAGAGGCGCGGACCGAAGTCTCGGGCTGGGTTGATGGGGTAGCCACAGTTGGAGCCCATTGCAATGCCTATCACCAGCACAAGCACTCCAATCAGGATGGGCTTGAGAAATTCCGGAGGTTCATTATTCTGGGAGTCGTTTAAACTCAGGATGACGAGCAGCAGAATTCCAGTGGCCACAACCTGGTCAATGAAGCCGTTGCGTGTGGTGAGATACTCGGCAGGATAGGTGGAAAATATCCCACCAGTCGCTAGGGGTCCACCGTCAGCAATCAGCTCCCCGCCAGTAAAGTGCATGATTGAATCATAATACATGGCCAAGATGACAGCAGCTGCTACAAACCCTCCAAGGATCTGGGAGAGAATGTAGAATGGGACCTTCCACCAAGATAGCTTTCCTAGCACACAGAAGGAGATGGAGACTGCTGGGTTGAGGTGAGCACCTGAGACACCTCCGGACACATAAATTCCGAACATCACTCCCACTCCATAAGCGATGTTGATGGATAGGTACGAGCCTTTTCCTGTTGTCTGTACTTGGGCTACTGCTGCTCCTCCTATAAAAACCAGCAGGAAAACACCCAGAAACTCCGCCAAGCATTCCTGCAGGAGTCTGTTCTTCACACGGAATTTCCTCCGGGCTTGCTTCAGGAAGGAGGTCAGGCTCATCATAGCTGGAAGGGATTTGTCGTTCACGGCCTCCACTCTACTCCTTGCCTTATGCCTCTTAGGTATGGCTGGTATGGGAGGTATCTGGGATGCTCCTCAGAATCAACAGAAAACAACCTGCGCCTCAAACTGTGTCCAAGGGAAGATGAAAATGGAGGAAAAATCCCAGATTTGGGGGAAGATTGAAGGGGGGGATCAATGCTACAATATCAGATTGGTTTGATAAGGGTAACACTGTGGATGTTGTTTTCTGGATTTCAGTAAGGCCTTTGATACAGTTCCGCTTGAGAGGCTGATACTGAAAGTAAAGAAAGTGGAGATATATTATAATGGATACATAACTGGTTGACCAGAAGAACCCAGAGGGTGGTGGTACAGAGAATGTCATCGGACTGGAAAAATGTTACCAGTGGAGTTCCAGAAGGGTCTGTTTTTGGACCTCTTTTGTTTAATATTTTTATAAATGATCTGGAACTAGGAGTCGCAAGTTCAGTGGTTAAGTTTGCAGATGTTTGCAGATGACACCAAGCTAATGAAAGTGGTAGATTGCAAAGCTGAACAAGATAGGTTACAGGAGGTTACAAGTATTTGAACATACTTGGGAATGGGGCAGATCGATGGCAGATGAAATTCAATGTGGAGAAATGTAAAGTACTTCACATGGGGACAAAAAATCCAGGAAGGGACTATTATTTGAATGGAAGGAAAATAATATGTATGGAAAATGAAAAGGACCTGGGGTCCTGATTGACAATAAATTTAAGCTCTCACAACAATGCTCTGTGGCAGTGAATAAAGCAAACTAGATGTATCAAAAGATCAATAGCAAGCTGAAATAGTGGGGTTAACCTGTGATTATATAAATCATTGGTGAGATGGCTATAAAAGTGTAATTTGTTGTTGTTTATTGTTGCACTGTACTGTGTAGAGTTCTGGTTGCTGCAGTACAAAAAGGATATGGGAGAAATTGAGAGGATATCGAGGAGGGCAACCAGAATGATTGATGGAATAGAAGGATTGGACTACGAGGAGAGATGAATTAATTTGGGCCGGTTCACACTGGAAAGGAGAATATTGAGAGGAGATATGATTGCGGTCTTTAAGATTCTAAAGGGGCTAGACAATGTAGATCATGAAATGTTTCAACTTGTCCAGAATTAAGGAGACAGCCTGCGATTGAAGGGGGGTAAATTGAGAACTAATCTACAGAGACACTATTTCAGTGAGCGAATAGTGAACCTGTGGAACAGACTTCCTAGGGAAACAGTGAAGCAGGAAATATTGATTCCTTCAAACACAGATTAGATAGTTTTCTTTTGAGAAATAACATTATATAATAATAATAATCTGCAAAGATAATTTGATAAAGCGCCTTATCATGTCTTCGAGACGTCTCAAAGCGCTTCACAGAATATACTATAAAGTGAACTGACTGTATATTTTGTGGTCAAAACGCAGCAACCATTTGCGCACAGCATTGTCCCACAAACAGTCATGGTTTGAGTGACCAATTTATTATTATTATTTTTTTAAAGGGATTATTATCCCCAGAAAAGCGATCCGCCAATTGACTAACAACAAAGTTCCTACTTACTGCTAGGTAAACAGAGGCCTGTGGAGTAAGGGAACTTGCCCAAAGTTTCACCCTGCCATGAATCGAACCCAGGTCTCTCACTTGCGAGGTGAGTGCTCCAACCACTGAGCTACAGGACTCCAAATATTATGGGTGGTAATACATAGGTAGTTTGGGACATATGTGCATGCGACTGCCGGGAAGGTGAAAGGTGAACTAGATGGACCTTGGTATTTTTTTTGTCTAGCATTTCTTATGTTCTAATAAATACCAATCAAACTCACTACATCCCTAACCTCTGGAACTCCCTGTCTCAATCCCTCTGCTCACCTCTTCTTTATTTACCATGAAATCACTGGTTAAGACTTATTTCTTCGAACGTGCCTTTGAGCATTCCCTCCCCAAACACTCTTTCCCATGCTTAGTGTTCAACTACACCAATGGGCAACTCTTCAGAATGCTACTCTGCATGAAGCGCATCATATAAATACAAGTTGTTGTTGTTGTAAATCATTTCATATTTACTGAAATGAGTTCAGTGTCCCGGCCTCCAACACCCTTCCCAGTAATCCATTCCAAATGTTGATTGTCCTCTATGTGAAGAAATATTTTCAAACGTCTGTTCTTCACGACACTGAATCTCTCATCCTGCTGCCTTGGTGTATCTGAAAATATTGTTCCACTTTATTTTCTCAATCCCTGCAATGCACCTTATTTGCCTTTTAGAGTCCCATTAAAGATCTCTGTTTTCTGCACCGCCCTCATGACTGTAATGGCTGCCTTATGTGATTGTGACCTGTACTGTAATCAGTGCTCCAGGTACAGCCTGACCCCAGCACCGTACAGTATAACTTCTGGGTTGCTGAACTCAATTCATCCAGCAAGGTATCGCTGCATCCTGCTCGTTTGTTTGTTGCTGTCTCACGCTTGATTGAACCTCATTTATTGCACCTACAGAGAGACCAACTGAACACATAATTCATTACCATCTATCACCACAAATACTATGAGTGCAAAAAGCAAGACTTAAATAAACCCAACCTGTTTGATGATCATCCAAGAGTCGTGTCTTTCAACTATATTTTACATAATATAAACTCTGTAAAAGCAATGTCAATAGTGTCGAGCCTGACAGCTTGGTGCCTACCCTTGAATCTCCCATTACTGTAGTTATTATTAATAATAATAATAATCCTTGCATTTGATTTAGTGTCTTATCACGTCTTCGAGACATCTCAAAGCGATTCACAGAATTTACGGTAAAGTGAATTCACTGTATATTTTGTGGGTGAAATGCGGCAGCCAATTAAAGTAACCTTAGGCCTCCTACAATAGATGTTTGTATCTGGGAAATTAAAAAGTGGTCAAAGAAATTTTCACTCACCAATTTAAGTGCCCATGAGTATGGCTGCATCTCCTGCAGTGTTGTGTTTAGAAAGTGTTTATTTTAATATTATTAATTTGTTTCTTGAAGCCAAGAAATTCTAAAATAATTTAATAATAAATAGCTTGGAACAACAACAACAACAACAACATTCCATTTATAAAGCGCCTTTCACGTCAGGAGGACGTCCCAAGGCGCTGCACAGTTGGGTCATGACCCGAGCAGGGGGGAAATGGTCAGGGTGAGGGGAGGGAAGGGAGGGAGCGAGGAGGGGGGAAATGGTCAGGGTGAGGGGAGGGAAGGGAGGGAGCGAGGAGGGGGGAAATGGTCAGGATGAGGGGAGGGAAGGGAGGGAGCGAGGAGGGGGAAGAGAGTCGAGAGGGGAGCTGAAGGCACGGTCAAAGAGAAAGGTTTTGAGACCGGCCTTGAAGGAGGAAAGGGAGGAAGCGGCGAAGGCACTGGGGGATGGAGTTCCAGAGCCTGGGGGCTGAGAGGCTGAAGGCCCGACCACCGATGGTAGGGCGGTTGGGGCGGGGGACGTGGAGCAGACCGGAGCCAGAGGAACGGAGAGTACGGGCAGGGAGGTAGGGGGATAGTAGGTTGGAGAGGTAGGAGGGAGCAAGGCCGTGAATGGCCTTGTAGGTGAGGATGAGGATCTTGAAATCCTGCTGAACAGCAGAGGGAAGAGGTGAGGAGACAGGTTCAGTGGCACAAGGTGTTAACAACTTCCTTTCTCATGCTGCTGAAATCAACCTGAACTAAAAACAGGGCAACTTCACTAGCGGGAGGAAGTAAACACTGTACAGAACTACTATTGGAATAAAATAATCTTCGGCTGCCACATTCGCCTACAAAATACGCTGTTGGTACACTTAAATCCGGTGAAACGCTCGAGGTGTCCTTCTGACGAAAGGCGTTATATCAAATATAATGATTATTAGTATTTTTACTGCTGTATTGGAAGTGGTTATGTCTCATATGAATGTTATTTTTCTATATTTTCCCCCTCCTTGCTATTCCTTACATGACTCCCTGACTAATTCCATACTTAATAAAATAACAATTCTTGCATTTGATATAGCGCCTTATCACATCGTTGAGTAACCTCAAAGCATTTCACAGAATACATAGGAAAATGAATTGATTGTATATTTTGTGGGAAAAATGCAGCAGCCAATTGCACCCAGCAATAGAAAGGCTATATAAATGTAAATTATCATCATTGTAGCATCACAGTTCCACAGTTGGTTGAGGTCAGGCCCAATAACTAGAAGTTTAGGGCTGATATGCCATTGGGTCCTCTCAGCCCTTCATTCTCTCAAAGTCAATAAAAGTCAAGTACTATATCTAAAAGTATCCTTCTGGGGAATAAGTGGGAATAAATCGTTCAACTATTTGTACATAAACTGAGCAATTACCATTATTATAAGATAGTCTGCATTTTAATTAAAGCCTTTGTGTGGTATTTTGTTGCCAAGTATTTTTTATTGAATGTATCATAGAGTGTATGACGTATAATGGACTAAATTTAGAAAATAATATGCATAAGCGTAGAGAGTAATGAATGGTGTTGGAAAGTATGACGCATCTGTTCATTTTAGTGTCAAGTGTCTAACATTTTCATAGAAAAACCTTAAATGTATTTGATTGGAATGAAGTTATTCACAGCTTAGCTAACAAATGTTCCTAACTTATTCTCTCTTTCAGATCCAGCTAGTGTTTAGCTCACTAAACAAGGTATGCACCGTTTTAGCCCCACATTGCTCTTATCTTTTACTCCCAAGGGCCCGAGACTTTATATAAATTCAGGTTGTTGTTGTTGTTGATTGTCGTGTTGTGCTGCTTCAACCTGCTAAAGAGCCAGCAAGTGGGATCCTCAGAATTGTAGGTTCTCCAAGCCTCAGAGAATGTAGTTTCCTAATTCCTTCATTTCATAAGTTCACAGATCGGATTGGATGAAGAAGGCCCTTCAACCCATTTGATTTCATCCTTCCAGAACATGGATTCATCATAGCATTAAGCTATGATCAGTGTCCTGGCCGGGAACCATTCTTCCTGTTCCAGTTGTTAAATACTCTCTGGGCAAAGAAAATTGTAATGGTATGTGTTCTGCGATTGGCCTTTGGAACTCTAAACCGGTGTCCTCTTGTTCTACTGTCTTGGTGTATCCTAAAGTATTGTTCTAATTTGTGAATGCATCTCAGTAGTGCTTCTGCTCCCTTCCCTCTTCAGAGAACGAGTCTGATTGTTTAGTCTGGTTGTTAGTTGCCTCTCCTCACTATGTCCAAATAATGAGAGGCAGCAATAAACAAGAGCAAGACAAATAGGATGC